TTTTTTTTTTTAAAGCTATTTGACGCCGTTCAAGAGACAACAGCTTCATCGCCACAGTTTAACGGTGTACCACTAGTAGAAGGAGCTCAGCATGCGGCGTGTCGTCACAGGAGTTTGCAGCGCAGGGAGGCGTGTGCCGTGGTGGCCAACCGCCTGCGTCGCGGCGATGCAGCCTCTGATGCAGCGTGCCGCCTTCACACGTGGCGTAACGGAAACAAGTGGAAGCAGCGGCGTAGAGAAGAGCAAGAGACGACGCCATCAGCCGGGCGGCAGTGGTGGGCCCGTGAAAGACCGCTTCCCTCCTGTTGCAACGGACCTCAGCGACCCTCGGCGGCGGCTAGCGCTTCTTATTGACGCCTCGAGTGTTGAACCGCGCGTGTTCCACAATACCATTGTTCCTGCCGTGCTGAAGGTTGGCGTGCCTGTTCTTGTGCGCTTATTTGCGGTGCAGTTGAGCAGCGAGTGGGAGAAGGTGGTGGCCGGAAGTGATGCGGTGAAGAAAACTGAAGGCGGCGGCAGCAGCAGCAGCAGTAATGCGTTAGAAAAAGACCACAACGCTACCGGCAATGAAGTAGAAGCAGCCGAAGTGACGTCGGGGTGCCCACCGGCGGAGTTTTTTCGTGTTGAACGCTTCATACCGGTGTCGATGCAGATGGAGGCCGACGCGAACCACATCTTTGACTTCCGTCGACAGAACAAGATTGAGGCTGTGTGCTTCGTCTGTAGCGAGGTCGACCGTGGCGTCTTTGAGGGTTTCCTTGCCAACATCGCCGGTAACGGCTTTAACCAGTACGTGCTTGATGAGCTCGGCATGGCGAAGGAAGTGGAGGAGGACGGGCGCTCCGCCGACGGTACACCGTGAAGCGCATAAACATTACGTGACGGAAAGTATGTGTCACCAAGCACGATCTGTAGATATAGACGATGAATCTCCATGCTCCTCATTTGTAATAAGCTTTCTTGCTCTATGTTCTGTAGTCACCCTCTTTCAGAGTGTAGATATGGGCTTTGTTGACCGTGGCGGCGGTCGTGAGGCGAAGGGTGCGAGTCTTCGCCGCTCCAAGAAGAATCCCGGCGCTCCTGCTGCGAAGAAAGCGTCAGCTCCGAAGCAACAGCAGTCCACCGCCCGCGTCGCGCCGACGTTCCCACGCTTCACGGACGATCTGCTGCACGTTGATGCGGCCGTTGCTATTCTCGCGCGCAAGTTGGACGCGGACCGCGACGTACTGATGCGGCGAGCGGCCCAGGAGAGCGGTGTTGCTGCCGCTGTAACGTGGTGCGGTGACTTCGAGCGGCAGGCGGCACTTGTGGAGTTCTGCACTCGGCACAACGTCACTACCGCCACAGCAACACCGGGGGACGGCACGCTGTATTGCATTGTAGGCGTGCACGTCAACAATGTGGACCGGATGCACAAGAAAGTTCAGGAGAGCTGGGTGGAAAGTGTTGCGTCGTGGGGGAAGCACCCTGAGGTGTTAGGTCTGCTGTCGGGGCTGAACCTTGAGAGAGATAGCGGGACACACTTCGCACAGGAGTGGCTCCTGGAGCAGCTCTGGTACACTGCGGGTGCGCTGCAAATGCCTCTCGTCCTGCACATCTGCCACGATACACAACGGACCGCGAACGGCGATGGCGCAGCAGCCTGCAACCCGACGGTGGATCGTGCCGCAGAACTTCTAGCGGAGCTGATGGCTCGCCAGGAGAATGGTGATGATGAAACTAAAGGAGGCACTACACGGAAGAGTCCGACTTCTGTTGTGCTTTACAATGGCATCGGCGCGCTTGCCTGTTCGTCGGCGATGCGGGCTCTTGTGAAGCGGTGCGTTCCTCCACCGCCGTCAGCCGAAGCCGTAGCAGATACCAATCCCGAAGGAGCATCTGTTGCACCGCCGATTTACATCCTTGCAACTGCAGAGGGCCTCATTAAGAGTGACGGTTCCACCTCAGCTGTAGAGGATGGTAACGGTGTAGCCGATGCGGCAACATATATCCCATCGTATGTGGAGACGCTGTGCAACGACATAGCGCTCTCACAACTTCTTATCGGCACAGGGGCACCGTGGAACACTCCGCAGAATATCCCCGATAAGCATTTGCGCACGCTACCCAATGAGCCTGCTAACTACGGCTACGTTGTTGCTGCTATACACGACGCCCTCAGCATTGCATCACAGGAGCCATCTCTGGGACTGCAAGAGGTCTACACTGCGGCGCGTGACAATTTCCTACGCGCATTCTTCCCTGCAGAGAGCCCCAC